TCTAGAGGGCCTCGGGGGGGGGGGGGGGGGCTGTTTTCGCTCTCCCCAGGCTCCTCTAAAGCCTCTGGAGCCTGGGGAGGATGAAAATGGCCTCAAAAAAAGGCTAAAGTCAGCCAGCCAGCATGCGCAAATGGCTCCCTGTGCCACCTGTGGAACGCGTGCCATAGGTTTGCCATCCCGGCTATAAGAGATTGTTCATATCAGACAGAGTTTACATGTCAAGTTTCCGCAAGAACTCAAATGAGGGCCCCACATTTGACACAAGGAAGAAATGACAAGGGAAGAAACGGGTATTACAACCATCCTCAACATACCTTGCCTTTGGATTTCACTCTAGTTTTCAAATCACTCCACTTCTGCCCATCAAAGTTTCGAATTATGAGCTCACGGTCATTCAGGCTCTGAGGAGAAGCATAGGGCATCCAGATCCGCACCTCCTAGTGTGCCAAAATAGAAGAGAGGGTGTCCATAAGTTCATCCCACAGAGACAACCTTAGTCAAGCTCTGCAATATATGGAGCAAGATAAAAGACTCACTCCAGGGAGCAGAAAAGGGAGATTAATGACGCAATATAGGAAATGGAATGTGATCTCATGGAAGATAGCATGCTATAGAATCAAAAGTGCAGTTGTCCATACATAAATGCTATAGATTCTCACTGACATGCTTCAGAAGGATTTATACCTCTCACTAAATGAAAAAGGAATGAATATTCTTTTCCATCCATAACATGGCCTAGTTCAGCACGCTGCCTGCAAACAGCAACATCCACAAATTCTCAAAATGATAGCATGTGTTCAATGATATTATCACACAAAGGCTGTCATTAGATATGACATGCTAATTATGGCATGGAAAAAACATGTAAGTTATCATCTGGCCCTCTGTTCCCTCACATGGATACCCATATAACAAAGGAAGACGGGCAGCACTATCTCCTCACTGTATATCACAGCCTGGCATGGAATGCCACTGCCAAGGTTTAGGGAATTAGCAAAGCAACAGAGATATTTGACAGAGTGATAGTTCATTCTAGACCATTTGCTAGATGTTCTAAGGATATGATAGCATCTTGTAACTTATAGTAATTTTTGGAATTCCCAGTAATTTCATAATATTTTGTTTGCAAATAGTCATCCATGTGCTTAATCGTTCCATATATACCCAAAAGAAAGATGGTCACATGCAGGGTTAAAATAAATACATTTTAGTGCATTTTCTAAAATGGGAGAAGCCAAGTTTCAACTCTGTCCTAAACAATTCTCTCTGAATTAGGAAATAATTTCTTCTATTACTACAATTTGCCCTTGTATAACTGATGAAGAATTACTGGGATACATGAACAAGGCCTGCACTTGCTCAACAACATTTTCCCCTTAATTTCCTAAATTCCAGGTCTCTAATCTGGATTAGTGTCCAAGTGGTGGGAAGGGGGGGTGGTGGTAGCCATATTATTGTAAATTCAACATTCAGCCTAAACCTTTAGTAAGAACCCAACAAATAATCCAACTCATTAGCCTATTTAACAAGCAACTAATCCACCACCATGCAATGCAACAGCCTAATGGAAATAAAGGATGTACAGGTACTTCAGAACTCTTATCTACTTGTCTATCCAAGAAAAAGCTATCAAAAGGATTCAGCTTGAATATGACTAAATCCAGCCAGGGGTCCTGGAGAAGAAAAATCATTCTAGGAGGAGAAGAAGATGGGCAATAGCTCAAAATGCTGCTGATTGTTCCAAGCGGAGCTTAGACATGCAAACTGTTCTCCGCCTCCTAGTGCACACATACAAACTCCATCAGAGGGAACAGCAGAATCAAACTCAGAGAAGGCAAACATTACTTAACAACGTAGAAGAAAATAACAGTTGTAAAGAGTTTGGAAAGAATTCCAGAAGCCATGCTCTGGATATTTTCTCCTTCTGGTTCATATTAGTTTGCAAATTGTAAATCTGCAGACTAACATGAACAAGAGAATTTGCAAAGTTCCAGCTTAATATCTTTTAAACTTACCTGCTGGAAATGAATCCCATGGGGCTGCAGTTCCAGGACTTCACTTAGCAGGATGTCATGGTGCTTCAGCTTCACCCAATGAGGGTCAGGGAAGCATTTCCGGAAGTGAATAGTTACTAGAGTAGTTGTAGCACCCAGTGGGAAACGGAGTTGAATGCCGCAAGCCAAGAAGACGCGGCAGCCTTCAGGAGTCACAGTAAAGCTTTGGAAATGTAAAAAGAATCAAAATGTCTTTATAATCTCTATTCTTGCTGAGATGGAAGAATTGAAATAAAAAATAATTATAAATTGGATCACAACTCCCATAAATCACAACAATGCTTCACAGTTGACTGTGGATCATAGGGTGCTGGAGTCCAACCTGTTTGTCTTTGTTTCATCTGGAATTTAGGATATTTTTTTAAGGCTATGGGCTAAACATGGGTGGACCACTTTTTGGTTACCATAGTTTTGAGGGAGGTAAGCTCTGCGGAATGAGAGGAGCTGGGCTTGTGGAGAGGTTATTTTAACTGTGACTATGTCTCTAAAACCTGACTTTTTATTCAATACATCATTATCCTGAGAAGACATATTCTTGGTCAGCATTGTTTATTTATTTGAAACCTGCCAAAACCCCATTCAATTTCCTCATCAAGTATTCTATATTATTTTGGGATCCTGTAAAACTATAACCAGATCATCAGCAAAGGCACACAATTTATAAGTTTCTTTCTTAATGTTTATACCCCTTATTTTATCATTTTATTTAATACTTCTATTCAGGACTTCCAAAACCAAGATAAACAACAGAGGAGACAAGGGACATCCTTGTGTTGTATACTTTTGAATTTCACATGAATTGGTTAAGTTTATAACAATTTTGAATGAGCTCTGGCTCATTTGAATGAGCTGAGATTTTAAACACTGAGAAAATCATATTTGAATGAATGAGAGAGACTGGTTTAAGAAAAACCTTGGGTGCAATACAGATGCTATCGGGGTATCTTTGGAAGGAAATGATATCACAAAACACATGAATGTCATAGCTTAAATAACAAGACTGTAATCTGTATTTATTATATTATTATGGCTTGTATGGATGCCTACTCATGCTAAATCAGTGGGGAGTTAGGAAGACACCTGACCAAGATATCAGCTGAACACCACATGAAATACCTGTTTTCATCAGCTTTAAGATACACACTCTGCAATTCTTCTCGACTAGAGTCATCTGCAAGAAAACAAAAGGACTTCCTTCAGTCTGTGGTCGAGAATAATAATAATATAATCCAGGAAAACCTGTCCATGTCCTAACCTCTTTTTACTGTTGTGGAAAAACATAAGGAGAGAGCTTGATGTGAGCCACTTTGAGTTCCCAGAAGAAAAGTAGAAAAGAAAGGAATAAAGAAATGACAATAAGTATGTTATCACCTGATGCCTATGATGTGACTTTTTTTAAATTTTATAAGCATAGCTGTCTCTGAGACATGCAAGAGAGTCATATGAAAAAGGACCTTTTCTATAGTAGTTATCCAACTGAACATATCCTCAACTAACCTACTGTAAAACTCTTCTGAAGTATTACAAAGGACTTGCTATTATTTCCTAGACATTTCAAAAAACTTTAATCTTTTAATTTGAAAAATTTAAAGTGTTTCATGTATTGTGGAATTATTTAGCCCTGTGGAATTTTTTTTGTAGCCTTTCAACCATAGGGTGTTAATTTTCAGTTTGCATTGGAATTGTTTCCCATTTCTTAAAATTGTTTTTCACTTTCTTGTTTATTATTTTTTTCTGTTTAAAAGAATTATGGATTATAGTTCATTTTATTTTAAGGGCTGTATATCTTCCAAACAGTTATTTTGACTTGGACGCTAAAAACAAATGGAACAAATAAAGAATACCAACAAAAAACTCAGGTGATTTTTCCCCCCAATTATGCTTTCCTAGTATATATTTTGTATCAAGAATGACCATGTGTTGAGTTTTGGAACTGCATTTAACAACAACAACAAAAACAACAAAAGAGAGCACCCTATTCTGTGCCAGGCAAAATAGTTGATCAGATGGCATCTCCCCAGGATGAGACAAGAGTGCCAGAGAACAGCTGTTCAGTAGGCAAATCAAGCAGAAAAAAGCAATTACCTGACTGCAGAGGCACCTCCAATTCTCCTAGAGGATTGCCCCTTAGATGCACAAAAGGAAAACTCTCAATCTCCGGAGGGATGCTTCGAAGCCTATTATTCTGCAGATCAAGTCTCGACAAGTGAGGTAGGCAGGCAAGGGAGGCAGGAACAGTTGTCAAAAGATTGCTGTGAAGATGCAGCTGCTGCAGAGACTGTAAATTGGCTGCAGGTCACAACGCAGATTAAACATTGAAAGAAAACCTAGCCATGGTAAAATCAAATAAATACATACACTCACATACCTCTCTTAACCTCTACAAATTACAAATCCCTTTAGAAAACAGCAGGGGTCTTATGCCAATCCATCCCAATCTAGTTGTTATAGATACAAAACAACCAACTAACCACTGCGTACTTGATTTCATAGACTTACATTCACACTGCCACACCAATTATAAAGAACTATTTGGGGGGGAGGGTGTCCTTGGTACTCTCTGAGCTTGCTTGTTTTCTTGCAGACATTTCGCTACCCAAACTAGGTAACTTTACCAGCACTGACATTAGTTAATTTGGGTAATGAAACATCTGCAAGAAAACAAGCCCAGAGAGCACCAGGACCCCTCATTTCAGCCGAGCTACAAATATTCTCCTTTAATGGTATAAAGAATTATGCACGAGACCAAAATGGATATATACCCCTACAAGGAACATCTAATTAATAAGGGCACAAAGGAAATCGGGTTTAGCCTGTTATATATAGTTGATTATAGTTGGTTGCAAAGATGCCATTAATGGATTATTATTATTTTAATCCCAGTTTACAACCTACAAGGTGAAGCTTCTCGGCCTCCTCAGTCAGTGTTTTTTGATAACCTGGGGCACTTTTTACTCCCAGGACATGGAATAAGGAATCCATTTCTTTAATTTGTGAACAGCTTACCAAGAGAACTTGGTATTCCTGTTAATTCATTTTCAGAGAGATCAAGTTCAGTACAGCTGTGCAAGTTCCCAATCTCTTCGGGGAGTGATTCCAGTGCATTTTCGGAGAGGTTCAATGTCTGCAATGCTGCCAACCCCCCGATGCTCTGCGGCAAACCTTTGAGCTGGTTCTTCATGGCAGAGAAAAAAGTCAGCTTGGCAAGCTGGCCAAAGTCCTCAGGCAGCCTCTGCAAATTGTTGTGGTTGACGGAGAGAAAACTGAGGCTGGCCAGCTTAGTAATGCAGGGAGGTAAAATGGTGAAGCTGTTGAAGCTGAGATCTAGATGAGCAAGGCATTGTAGCTGCCCAAACTCTTGTGGCAAAGATGCTAGCAATCCTTTCTGATATGCACCAATGTCATCTCTGGAATGTCCACCTGAAAGCAAGCAAAAGTCAAAACAAAGAAGAGGTTTGCACCACAGCAACTTCATATAGACATGGTATTTCCTTGAAATAATTTGCAATATAGAATGAAACTTTAAGGAACGCACAGAATTTTGAAGCATACAACAATATGATACAATTAGTGAGTGAATGTTCGGTGAGGTTCTCCTGCTTCTTTCAGGGTATAGTGGTAATAAAAAGACCAAGACAGAGATGGTTAAATTCTCCTTGAAAACCAGAAAGGGCACACTCAACCATTGTTGGGGCCTCTTGGTCCATTAACTCTTGAATAGCTCTCTAATGATACAATTTACTAAACTGCAAATTACTGAAGCTTCCAAATAAAAAGAGGAAGCTATTTGGTTTATATTCAGCATTAATTCACTATTAATATGTATACCGTGTTTCCCCCAAAATAAGATCGGGTCTTATTTTCTTTTGAACCTTGAAATAAGCACTTGGCCTTATGTTCAGGGAGGTCTTATTGTTTTTGTGGTGATGGAGGCAGCGAGCGTGGTCACCTCATGGCTGCTGCTGTGTTGCAATATTTTCGGGGAGGGCTTATTTTAGCACATATGCTCAAAAGCCCGATTGGGCTTATTATCTGGGGAGGTCTTATTTTCAGGGAAACAAAGTATTAATAACACACTATATTTCTAAGGGGTTGTTTTTAGCTATTTACATAACAGGCAAAAGTATTAGGACATTCATACATATGACTGAGTTGTATGACACTGACTTTAATAGGATATCACATATGCAGATTTAATTTGTACATAATCTGTGCAGAAATAACAGTATAGCTCTCTGAATATACATTCAGGATTAAGATCTAATGATTGCCACAACTTTACTTTAGGGAAAATAGGATAAAGATTCCAGACTTAATTAAATATTGAAATCTCCTCTGCACAAATGAATGGGGAGGGGAATTAAGTAAGATACATTGTGTTTAAAGAACAGCATCAAACATCATCTACTATGCTTTTATAAACATAAATACCCCTCCCTGCTAAGCAACATTATTGAAAATATTGGTGGTTTTATGCAATGAAAGCTGTAAAAAGACAAAAAATGAGAAAAAAATATGTCTTCCATAACAGTATAGAAATTTTACACAACTGTTAAAATGAGTTGAATATGCTGCATGATTGTGAAATCAAGATTCATAAAAACTTTGGGAGGACAGAAATCAGGGGAATCAGCTCCATTGATTTCGTATTTTTGCATGCTCTCGTTGTGAAAGCATCTGTATTTGACAGAAATGTTATCACAAACTGCAACCTTCTATCACAGAACCTCCATTATTGCAGTGGTAATCCATGCCAGCCAAAAAAAAATTAGCAGAAAATTGGGTGTATGTGTGTTTCCCATTGAAGAATGCTAAGGCTGCAAGCTTTCCCATCATTATTTGCAAGTAAGCCACTTTTAAGGAGTGTAAACAACATCTAAGTAAAGGCAGACGCTTCCTGCCACATAATTATGAAGGAAACTGGTCCAAGACCATTCCTAGAAGCTACAAGAAAATGAACCAAACTGTCAGGACAGAAGAAGAAATTATGGAAGAGCACATTAGAAGCAGGCAGCTGAACAAAGGGGGCAGATAAACGTGCAGTTACCTTTGAGCACAAGAGATTTCAAGCCCCTCAAAGCAGGAAGGCTGCTCAGGGTAGAAGTGATAAGGTCCTCGTTGCAGTTCAGCCTCAAGAACTCCACCTGTTCTACTTCTTCTCTCCTGCTCTCCAGCAGCTTGAGGAACAAGCGGCAGCTCTCAGGATAGACATCCAGGTTTAATCGGTTGCCAGCCAAATAGGAAATAGAAAATGCCTCAGCCTCCAAAGTGCCCTCCCCTGGAGGGTACCCAGGCTCTGGCAGTCCTGCCATCTTCTGGTTTTATATCACCACGGGTTATGCATGTTCTGACTTGCCAATGGTACTACAAATCATTAAAGATGGAAGAATGAGGCAGCCTCTGGGGAAAAAAGACGGGAAGAACATGAAAACAGTTTAGGAAATTATAGAATTGCACAATTAGTCTGGTGAAGAAAGCCACAGAGATTGCACCTGAGCAAGATGTCACTGACAAGAGCTGTCTTCCAGGACTCATTTATTCAAGCACACATTTTTCAAGTGATAATTGCTTTTAACACTAAAATAAGGAATTTCTTGTGGGCAAGAAATTATTGGATATTTCAAGCTTCCAGTGCTTTAAGTAATGTCTGCCTAATAGTCACACAGCCAAATCTTGTATAAATAATCTTCTTGAACAGCTGAGGAACTGATAGGGCAATTAGCTATAAGAAATACTTTTTAAAAAGATAAGGTGTAGTTTTTCTCTTACTAACAAGATTTCTATCCCAACTATGACGCATGTGTCCGCACTGCTGTCTTTTATCACATTTCTCTTTTATGTTAGAGCAAAGAATAATCTTGTCACCAAATGGTGCCAGGATGAATTTAGCAAATTAATACAATTACATATTGCACACTATATTGCATACTATAGAGCTGTGATAGCGAACTATGGCACACATGCCCGTTCCTCTTCCGGGTTTCTGGTGCGCATGCGTGTGCAATGATCAGATGGCCTTCGTGCTTGTGGCACTGCCGGAAACTGAAAGATCTGGTCTTCCATTTTCCGGCGTGAGCATATGCACTGGCCAGCTGATCATCGCACCTGCATGCACGCTTGTAACCAGAAGACTAGCTGGCCGCCGTGCATGCTGGAAACCGGAAGTTCATTTTTACGCGTGTGCATATGTGCTGGGCAGCTTCTCTTCCGGGTTGCGGCCCAGATGAGCACTTGTGGTCCCTTTTCAGCACTCATTGCCAAAAAGGTTCACCATCATTGCTATAGAGCCAGTTTGGTCTAGTGCAGTGGGTCTCAACCTTCCTAATGCCGTGACCCTTTAATACAGTTCCTCATGTTGTGATGACCCCCAACCATAAAATTATTTTATGTTTTCCATATTTTTTCGAAAATATGTGTTTTCCAATGGTCTTAGGAGACCCCTGTGAAAGGGTCGTTCGACCCCCAAAGGGGTCTCGACTCACAGATTGAGACCACTGGTTTAGTGGTTAAAGCACTAAGCTAGAAAACAGGAGAGTATAGGTTCCATACTGTCTTAGCCATGTAAATCGGTTGGGTGACTTTGGGCCAGTCATTATCTCTTAGGCCATGATGTCAAGCTTAGGCAATAAGCTGGTTGGTGAATTCGTGTTGTAACCAATGGATCAATGCTAGGTTGATCCTTTATAAAATGGAACCTGAACTTGTGTGAAAATGCTATGAATGAAAAAAAAAAAGGCATATACAGATAGCCCTTGACTTTTGATCACAAGTGGGACCCAAATTTCCTTTGCTAAGCAAAGTGGTTGTAAAATAAGTTGTAACCAATTTTATCTTTTTTGCCACAATCGTGAAGCGAATCACTGTAGTTAAGCGAATAATGTGGTTGTTATGTGAATCCAACTTCCTCATTGGTTGCTTGTTGGAAGCTGACTGGGAAGGTTGGAAGGTCCACTTAGCTTTGGACGCTGCAACTGTTGTATGGACATGCTGGTTGCCAAACACTGGGAATTTTGATCACATTACCACGGGGCTGCTGCCATGTCAATAAATGTTTGGACAGATCAGGTTATGCCGTTGTAATTTTCAACAGTTGCTAAATGAATTATTGTAAGTCAAGGATTACCTGTAATATAATGTATATTTACTGAACAACAAGTCTTAGTTTCTTGTGATGTGTCTCAAGTTTGCACATCACTAAAGCCCCAATTCCTTTTGTATATGATTTATTATTCCCTTTGCCAAGCATTAGTTTCTTCTTCCATTAAACAGTTTTGGAAAATGTTAAGAAAAAAAGCCCCAAAGCCTCAGTTATTTATGGACTGCAAATTAGTATGTTTAATCTAAAACAGCCAGTTTAGTGTACCAGCACAGTTTTAGTCCTATTTTAACCACAAAGAGAGCTGGGTAATCTTGGGCCAGTCACTCTTTCTCAGCTCTAGGAAGCAGGCAATGGTAAGCCATTTCTGAAAAATCTTGTCAAGAAAGCCCCAGGGACTTCTCCAGGCACTTGCCAGGAGTTAAAACTTCATTGAAGAAACAACAAAATCCAAGACCCCTTTGACAAGTTCTTGCTTATTCATTACATAAATATACTTCCTGCTTTTTATTTTGACATCCTTTCTCAACCTGGTGCCCTCAGACTCACTGGGAATACCAGGAACAGGCCAGAATCAGGAAGTTGGGAATTCAGGGAAGCATAATCTACAATCAGAGCCAAAGATGAAAGAAGACAAGGCAGCTTTCCCTTAGTGAGATCCTCCGAAGAGGTTAATAGAAGGGATGAAAGGCAACGCCGAGGGCAGAAGAAGCAAAGACGGCAGGGAGGCAGCCTGGTTACTTTCTCCGTGTCTTTAGAAGGCTTCCGACTCTCAGATTCAATTATTAGTCAGATTCAATCATTTAGTGTTATCCGCATACATCTCTGAAATACGTTTTTGCTCTTGTAAAATGCAGCTTTGGGGGGGGAAAAAACATAACCGCAAGAGCTGCTAGCGTGAGCATTTCCAGCCGTTGGTTCTGGAGTGGGCTCCGGTTTTGAGAAGAGAAGTGCTGGCAGGTATGGTGCCTTCCATAAATTCATGTTTTTGTTTTTGATTTGTTTTACCTTAAGGCGAAGCAACTAGATTTTTATTAATTTATTTTGTCATAACGTTCTAAGAAAGGGGTGGGGGGAGAGAAACCTTGCAACTTTGGAAGAAGTTTGCAGGAAGCAGGCGGAAAAGTTGCCCGGAAAAAGAAGTATGGTGAAAAAGGCGTCCAGTTCCGTATAGAAAAGAGGCTTTAACAGAAATTTCCATTCGGATTAGCAGTCCCTCCGATTGAACAATCCCGTTCAATTCTCAGTGGCAAAAAAAAAATCATCTTACCCAGCAAGGTCATTTTGTTGTTCTTTTGAAGCCATTTCGTCCCGCTGTTGCTTAAAAAGAAGCTCCGCTACTTTTTGTGGAGGAAAATATGCGTGCTCACGGTGCGGAACCGCGGCGGTGTATCGTCTGACGTTTGCACATCGCCGCGGACAGAAGCCTCATTTTTTCTCAAGACTCGGGAGCTTTTTTGTTAAAGGAAGAGCTGCCCCCGTTCTTTCCCTGCATTCACAAGTCTTCTCACCCTGGCAAACTAAGGGTTACTGCGTTTTAACGCACAGTGGAAGGAAGCAGTTAATTTGCATGCCAAGGATCTGGTTAAGTGAATTCTACAATCATCTGCTTTTTTGCCAACAAAACTTAGCTGGTGTGAGAATTGATACCTTTGCTTTTCCAGGCTACGCAATGGCGAGTTAATTATGATGCGATGTGTGTGTCAGAGAGGATTTCAGATGTATTGTTATTAAAATAAATCCTAAGGATTCTGGACACTTTAAAAAACAAAAATGATCAAACATAAAGAAGAAACTCACTGCAACCACTCTTCAATATAATACACGCTGAACTTTTTGACTAAAACCATTTCCTCACAACCAGGAAGTCTGATCGTTGTTGAAAATAAGTCATAAAACGATATGGAGGGCATTTTTGTTCGATTCTACCCTATATTTAAAAATAAAAACCAAACTTCTTGATTTTTTTTCCAAATCAGGGCACTTAAAGACTGTTGATGTCAATATCTTGTAGGGGGAAAAAGCCTCTTGCACTTTTCTGGAATTTTGCACATCTTTGTCACTGAACATTGCCAGAATTTCTGAACGGATCTGGTTGACTGCTCTAATATGCGCAAAGTTCAAAAAACCTTTTAACAGAACCATAAGGTTATTCCTGTGTTAAGACAAAAAGTGGGTCGAAACTAGATGCATTCAGCCATTACAATAGGAAGGCTTTCTTCCACTTTCCCTACATAAGCAGCTGATAATTTTTAAAATATGCAGCCTGTGATTCCGGACATATTGAAGCCTATTAATAATAGAAGCTAAGCAATGATCAAGTTAATAGGTTTAGGATTCAGATCATTTCAGGTTAGCGACATTCAAATATTTCATTTCCACCAGTTCAAATTATATAAAACCTCTCACTAGCAGACCCCGCCTACCGGCTCTATACAACTATACAAACCCCGCCCGTGCAGGCGCCGGTCTCGCCGTTTGAAGACTCGCGTTTCAATTGGCGGAACGCCTTCGAAGCGTCAAGCTAGCTATGTGACCTCGGATTGGTTGCTTTTTGGGCCCAATGTGAGAGCCGATTGTTGCGGCGCATGGAAGAACCTTACTCTGTAGGCTCCGCCCTTTCTTTTTGGCTGTCGCCGTGTTAAGGAGCGCGCGGTCTGAGGCCTGGCCTTTGCGCCGACAACGCGGGGAAGTAAGTAATGGCTGGCTCGAAGTCGGCCCCTCCGTGGCCGTGGTGTACTCACAAGACACGTGGGGGTTCAGGGCTTTGTTCCACTGACGGAGAATATATCTGCGGGAGAAAGGCCGAGGAATGTAGCTTGGGCCTGGGTGGAGTGGGGGTGACATGGCGGCCATGTGCTTCTCGTATTGGCGTGAGGAACCGGATGGCATAATCACGGCGGTCTATGAAATAACAAGAATAAGATAACAGTACAAAGAAAGATTAAGACACAGTGTTTATACGATACTCGAAAATAGGATATTAAAACACGGACTTTTGGAAAAATAAGTTAAAGCAAAAGGCCTGTAGAAATCTAAAAAGTGGGACCAGTTTTTAAAGGAAAGGTTGTATAAGGCTGTGCTTGGCCTATCACTATCTGTACTTTTTTCTCTTTGAGGGAGAGAGACAGTTACCCAAAAATACTTTGAAAAATAGAACCTCCACTTTAAAAGCCAGGCCCTTTACAGAGTTTAAACTGATTTAGATATTGTATCTAGATCAACTTTTTCAAGCTGCTAGTCTTTAAATGTGGTCGAGTATAATTTGTATTGTCCATAGCATAGTCATAGAAGACAATATAGATCAGTACTGCCTTTTCCAGTATTCTTCCTTTGAACTTGCGTTGCTCAATTTTTATTTTATAGCTGGTAAGGTAGATGTTGAACTAATCTAGTTTTTTATACTAATAATGAACCGTAGCTTTCTAAGTTAAATATTCTTTTACATACCTGTTTATGTGATTCTTTAAAAATAGAAAGTGATAATATCAGTATTAACAAAACAACACACTATACTTATCTTCCAGGATGTTGGGTTTTTACTGCATAAAATTCCCAATCTTTAATTTTTAATATCCATACATGGAGGAGACTGAACCGGAAAGGTTGGCTTAGATCATACACACTTCATGCGAAATGACTAGGGTTGGATTTTCAGTATGAGTACAATCAGAATTATGAGAGTGGTGTATATGTTCTTCAGGAAATTGAGACAGTCTAGTCTTTGTCCTAGATTTAAGAAATATATGTTGCTGTTCAACACACAAATGTTTGCTTTTCTCTTCACAGAATGCGTTACGTTGCAGCTTACCTTCTTGCTGTCCTTGGTGGCAATGAATCTCCAAGCTCAAAAGATTTGAAGAAAATTCTTGATAGTGTAGGCATTGAGACAGATGATGAACGTGTGAATAAGGTGAGAGTAAATACATAATACATGTATTATTCCTGTTTGTTTTTCTTGGCCATTATTCAGAGACATGTGTAACACCTATTTTGTAAGTGCAATCTTCACAGTTATCAAGTGGATGACATGAAGGCTTACAACATGTGTTCCTCATAGCTCTTGAAGCCATCACACTTTAACTGACTTCCACTATTCTGAACTACTGATTTGGAGTAATTGAGATAATGCTATGTGTATTGTTGCAATGGATTAAATATTATCTTCCTGTGTCTTGGAATGAAATATTAGGCCTAATTTCCTTTTACTAGAATTGTATGTACGTGAACAAAAACAAAACAAAAAAAGCTTAGGTAGCCTATTCATATCAGGTGCTTGGATATAGGGTAGTTTTTAATGCTTATTGAGAAATAAATTCCTTTGAGTTCAGTTAAAGCCATTTCCAGGTAGATGAAATAGGTTGAGGAAATTTTCTTCTCTTACTCTTACGTTTCAGGCTAGACCCTGTAAACTACAAATGCCTTCTCCAAAGAGCAGTCCAGAGGAACAATAACTATCCCTCCATGAAACAAGATGGAGCTGGTTTTGTTACTCGGCACTGTGAAAACTTTCCTTTTCCTAAAGGTGGGAGAATTCATGAAAACTTAAGAGATCAATACTTACATCCCGTCCATAGCCAGTGATAGCTACTTCTGTAATATTCCATAAGTTCATTTAAGTCTTATTTAAAATGCAGTGATTTAATTTCCCTCTATGCCTTGTTATATAAAAATACTTCAATTTCTGTTTTGAAATCTATATACTTAGTATTGTGCTTTAATATTACTAAAAGGTGATCATTGGAATTAGTTAATTTATTTGAGGTATTCACCATCAGTTGAGACTCCATCAGTTATAAGAACAAAGCAGAGTTAAAGACTGAATAAATATAAAATGTCCAATATACATATAACCAGTGTAGTGGCTATCCACTATTACCCAAATTCAAAGGCACATTAGAATGGGATGATGATAAATCTTACGGAATATGCTTGGAAGGATGCTGCCAAATGTGACCCAAGAGGGAGCTTGTTGCAGTACATGGGTGCTATTACTAAAAAATCCTGCCAAAGTACTTTAAGGTTAAGTACAATTTCAATATTACATAATGCATCCAAGGGAGATGATAAGGTTATTGTGGCACAGTGCAGCTGTCCCAGGTTGACACACTAAAGACCAGTTATTTTTTATATTTGTATTTATAATACAGGACAAATGGCATGTAAACAATTTGCTTAGTCTTAATTAGTAAACAGTTGTATATTTTTATTCAATAATTATCTATTTTTCCAACTGATTATATCATGTAAAAATAGATTTGCAAATAAGACACTTTCCTTTGATGCTTTGATTCAGAAGCCGTTGAAAGAAGCCATATTTGTCTTGCTGTTACTCTGCTTCAAAGTGTTTAGGCTAAATTGTTACTGTCCATTAAATTGGAATGTTTAATTGAATAAGCTAGTCTTCACTTACCAGCAGCCCTGTTTAGCAACCATTTAAGGTTACAAGGGTGGTGAAAAAGTAACTTTACAATCAATCATATTTACAACCACTGTAGCCCACATGCCTTACAACTGTTGTCCAACAAGCAAAATCAGTGACAAAAGTGTTACATGATGTTTTGTTTACAGTGGTTCTAGTTTTAGCTACTGAGCAAGTAGTCTCCAAATTGCAATATGAATTTAATTTTTTAAAAATTCCAGAAAAAAATGTTGCTTATACTTTAAAAATTGTTTTAAAACTACAGTCTGTTTACATGTGTGCTGTAATGTTTCCAGGGTAGATTGTACCACTGAACTCTCTATCCCTGAGTTGTTTTTGTTTATTGGAAGTTACCAAACTGAAGGTCAGAAGGCTCTTAAAACTTTTGGAAATATGTGCATGCTTTTGTATAAGATACCATTTTTTATTCATACATTTTACCATTTTTCTTATATATGCCAGTTTCACCACCTCTTGCTGATGAATGCTCTTCTCTGAAGTAGCAATGAATTATTTAACTAAACTTTATTATGGAATGTAGTTTAGATAGCCAAAAGTAACATAGATATTGCATGCTTTCAGGAGAGTACAGGGAAGATAATATTTAATGTTTAGATTTGGACAAATAGGATATAGTTCTGTAGAAATATCTTTGAAAAAGAAGAAACTGGATAGAACCTGTTGCTTATTTTGATAACTATGTGAGTTATCCTCCTTTATGTTTGTTTAGATTTTTATGCCACATTTTAAATATATAGAATAATGCAATAAACATATCTAATCCCTCTGTCTCCTATTTTCCCACAATAACCTTCTGAGGTAGACTGAGAATGACTAGTCCAAAGTCATCTAGTCAGTTTTTATTCCTAAAGTAGGCCTAGAATTCAATGTCCTGATTTCTAGGCCAGCACCTTCACCACTACATCAAACTAGCTGCTTAGCTGTTAAATTAATTCTGTAATTTTATTTTCTACAGGTAATTAGTGAATTAAATGGGAAAAATATTGAAGATGTCATTGCCCAAGGTGAGATCATTTATTACGTTTCTATACTGTGTTTCTTTTGAATGTTAAATAGTTTTTCTGTTGTTTATCCTTCCAAAGACATCTCTGCAAAACAGGCTATGATAAGAAATAGTGATTGGCCTCAAATCATCCAATGAGTTTCCAGATCATTTGGCGAATCAAAAATGGGTCTCCACAGTCCAGCTTGGGGCATATACAGGTAGTCCTTGAGTTATAACAGTGACTGTTCAAAGTTACAACGGCACTGAAAAAAGTGACTTAGGACCATTTTTCACACACAGGACCATTGCAGCATCCCCATGGTCATGTGATTTGCATTAGGATGCTTGACAACTGACTCACATTTATGGCAGTTGCAATGCCCCAGGATCACCCATTACAACCTTCACAAGCAAAGTCAACTGGGAAACCAGATTCACTTACCACGTTACTAACTTAACAACTGCAGTGATTCACTTAACAAATGTGGGAAGAGAAGTTATAAAATGGGGCAAAACTCATTTAATAAATTTCTCATTTAGCAACATAAATTTTGGATTCAGTTGTGGTCGTAGGTTGAGAACTACCTATAATGCAAAATGTATTGATGGAGTTTAATTTTAGAATGTAGCCAAAGGCCCTTTAAAAGAGAGGTCATTTCAATATTCAACAGTATTTAGCTTGAATATTACATGTATTTACAGGTGGGCCTTGATTTACAGCCACAATTTATCCCAAACTTTCTGTTACTAAGTGAGAATGAAGTGAGCTTTGTCCCATATTACAACCTTTCTTGCCACAGCTGTTAAGTAAATCACTGAAGTTAGTAGCATGGTTGTCAAGTGAATGAGACTTCCTCATTGACTTTGCTTGTTACAAGGTTGTAAAAGATGATCACATGATCACTGCAACCATAAATGAGTCAGTTGCCAACTGTCTTAATTTTGATCATGTGATCACAGGGATGCTGAAATGGTCAAGTCACTTTTTTCAGTTATGTAAGTTCAAACTAAATGAACTGATTACTCCCTGTATTTAAAGTATAATTTGGCAGAGTAAATGACATCAAAGGGTGAAGCTGTTTATTAATCACCTTGTTAAAGCCTTATCCCATGTCATTTATTTTCTCTGCCTGAAAATAGGAAATCAACATCCTTTCTGACATGTTATCTGACATCAAGAAAAGTGATTCAATTAATGCACATCATCTCCCTTTGGGAAAATCATGGACTCGACTGAGGGGCAAAGGACAATCATTCTACTGTTTTTGTAGAATCATTGATAAAATTTGTAGTTGTTGATTTCATACATTGTCCCTTTTCCTTGAGTGGAAAGATAGACAGGAAAATTAGCTGATCCTGATGTTAATGTTTATAAATATCATTTTGGCTGCTTATATCCTCTGATTTCTCCTTGAGAAAGAACAAAAGCATGGGGAAAAAACAACACAAGGAAATCCTGCAAAACCACTAGCATAATTTTCTTGTGTCTGCAATATTTAGGAGGAAGGGTGTGTAATCCTTGGTTGGGATTCTGCAATCAAAATAGGCCCCAGAGCATTTTCAGTGCATGCATGTTGCACTGGGGGACAATTGCATTCTGTTTATGTCTCATACATGAAATGGGTCCATCCTAATTCTCACAGGCTTATACTGTTACCTGATGGGCTTCGCTGGTGGACTACATTAACTTAGAGGAACCCTCTTAAAAACAGATAACATGCTGATCTGTTTATATAGAGGATGTACTCAACAGATTACTAGAAAAAATGAGCTTTTATTTTAAAAACTAAACTAATGGTTAATTATTGGAATGCAAGTCATTCAAAGGAAAGTTTTATTCTCATAACATTTATTCAGCATCCTCTGCTGTACAAAGGCCTGTGGTTTGTTGCTGGCTTCACCCTACTCTAGGCCTAATAACCTTCACATAAAGGATTTGAAGCTTTCAAAGTATCTACTTAATAATCCTTTCATCTTTCTCTGCTATTTCATTTTGTGAGGTGCCTCTCGCTGTTATTTTCTTTATGTTTCATCATCTGGAGTATGTATTTAATTTTAATATATTTTTCATGTGCATTTTTGCTTTTATACTGCAGTTACACTGCTTTTTCGCCACGCTCCTCCTTGATAATTTTGCTTTTTGAAAATGCATTCCACCACTGTTTTCTGATTCCAGATTTCTAAAACATGCTTTTTATTTCCAGTTCCTTTAATTTCTTTTTTACAGTTAAATGAACCTTATCTCCCGAGGCTTTCCTTATGGATGAACTTATCCTTAAGTTCATCCATAATTGCTAAAAACAAGTAGCAAAAATAAAATTGGATCCCAGTACTTTCTGTTACTTAATGTTCTTCTGGATCACCTGCAGCTGACTTATTTTGTCAAAGTTGCAGCCACTAGGGAAATTACTTCTGCCTTGTAACCTAGTTTCTGCATATCCCTGAAAATGTATTCTGCTATTTTGAAATGTCTGTCCTTTATAATGAAATTGTTCTTAGCTTGTCTTTATTGTTTGTTCGAAATATCTATTGAGGACAAAATCTCCACCCATCTCTGGGGACTCTTAGGTTTTCATGGTACTCTTCACATGCCCATTTGAACACTTGACATCTATTTTTTTAACCTCTCACTTAAATTGAAAGGAATTTGCTAATACACATACCCTATATTCAACACAGTATTCTTTGTTCAATATTTTGATTCAGCTTTCTATGCTCTAGTTATCACCTTTTTAATTATTCAATTTCTGTAGCTGCCAATCTCAATGACTTTGGGCCGCCTACAATTCAAAAATATATTCAATTAAAGCAATAAGAACATTTTAAAAACAATTAGAAAACATCCAAAATAAATTTGTACCTTCCCTAATTATTCTTCCATCCTATTCAGAATTCATATTCTTACTCTTTAAGCTCAGTGCACAGCCAGGCCTTTATCACTCTATGAAAGGCTGGCAAATCAGAGTCCTCTGAATCCAGGGGGTATGCTATTCATGGATTGTGTCCTTGTCTTCTACTTTCTCTTCTACTTAAGGAATCTGCCCACTTAAGCAGCATTATCTGTCCCTTTTTAAATAACCTTTCTGCAAGGAATTATGCCCTTGAATATTTGCATGGTTGACAACCTGTACTTCCTGTAAAATTTGACTTGGTCTTTATTCTCTTTGCAAACCTGAAATACATGTACTATGATGGGAATATTTTACAGCATTGATTATACTGAAAGAAACAGTAGCATAATAAAATAATTGCTGTGTCATTAGCTACTTGATTATATCAGTGCATTTAGGTTTGTCTTTAGGAAGATTAACACAACAAACAGAGTGATTAATACTTAATGTTTTGTTCTATCTGTTCTGAGTAAGTGCTTAACTATATCTAAATTATATTCTTTTTAATAAGACATGTTTACTTTTGGAGCCTGAAAACATTATGGAACACTTTAGATATGTATTCCTAGAAATAGAGAATAGGCATTTTGCCCATGTCAATGTGCTTCTGAAAGCCAAAACCATCTCATTGCTCGCAAGGGAAATACTGTATTTCTAACTTCCCTAGAACTATTGGCATTAATCTGTAGGAAATCTTAGTATCTCAGGGGCCCATCCATCATGTTACTTGGGACTCTGCCAGTTATAAGCTTGGCCTTGTGTTGCTACTGCAAATGAATAAATCACAGTAGAGGAAAAACTTATCTACTACTAGTCTAGGTCTGATAAGCCATAAGGATGCTGAGTAGCCTATTAGTTGCAAAGTTCATTGTTCACTTTCCATCATTGTCATAAATAAGCTGAAGTAGCACAAGGGAAGGGAATATGGAATCAAGCTGAGAAAGGAATGGTAGAAGTGCAGAAAATTTAATTGTTTTGCAGCTCATTGTCTTCAGGTGTTAGTTTCACTTTTGCCTGGCAAGTTTTACATGCAATATGTCATCTTTCTGGTTTGTTCTCCTCTAGGTAACAGCAAGCTTGCTAGCATGCCAGCTGGTGGGGCTGTAGCGGTTTCCTCAGGGCCTGCTGCTCCAGCTGGAGGGCCTGCACCAGCTGCTGGTAAGTATAATTTATCGTGAAAACAAATGTTTTGAGTAGGCAAACTTCAAGCTGAAGTTATCTTCCACAAATAAAGTCTTTTTGAAGTTTACCGAGCAGTAAAACAGCCTGTTACCTATCTAGCCTATTAAAAGCCCTTATTACATTTAAAGACAAACACGAATAGTTCTAAATAAAAAGAAACATGCTAATCTCTGAAAAGTTGTTCTATCAGCAATTCTATGAGATGAAATATTTCAGCAGTTTAAGTTGCTCACTTTTAATTATACTTCATTTTGAAATTATACTGTAGATATTCAGCCATTTCTATTATTCCTTTATTGGTGCATAATTAAAAAGCAGATAAATTCATATACAATACATTCTGTGCTTGAGCTTAATCCTGTCAGCAAATCCATCTTCTAGCTTGGTACATTTTTAAAAATCCTAATTATTGCTTATTCTTAATGTCTTACTTCGAAGGGAACTTTACTTAGAATAAATCTATACATTTGTAGCATTTAAAATTCTTGGCTAATTGATTTTATCCACTTGTCTTTTCAGCAGAAGAAAAGAAAGAAGAAAAGAAAGAGGAGTCTGAAGAATCTGATGATGATATGGGTTTTGGATTATTTGACTAAAATTAAGAGTTAGTCTGTAATAAATATTTTTCAAAGATTTTGCATTGTATTGTTAATTTATAAGCTTGGTTAATATTGTTTCAAAAGTTGGACCTGCCCAAAAGAAATCAGGATATTTTTGTGTATTCATTATGATGAGTTTTGAATATTTTGTCACTTTTTAAAGCTTATGATCATTTTGAAACTTACAATGCTTTCTAGTAAAAATTAAACCCTTACATTTGTAACATAATTTACCTTGAGTTTATATACTACAAAACTACTTGCATAAGATCATCAGTTAATTGGGTTCTCTTGGAATTCAACCATGGATTATGGTTCACCATGGTTGGCTTTGACATATTTTATTAAGCTAGAACCAAGTTACATTATAGTTTTTGATTTTTGAATTGGTGTTTGGAATATCTCAATTATACAATATCTTCTAGCTGACCTTCAAACACTTAATACTGTCAGTCCATGATAAATACTGTCAGTCCCTGATAAACTCTTCCCTTTTATGGACTAGATCTTGTTTGCTGCCAGTTTCAAAAAGCCCTTATGTGGCCATATGACAGAAGTTTGTATTGCTATCCTACCAGCTTGTTTTAATAATCTCATAATGTAAATGGATAGAGTAGGGGTAGTCAACCTTTTTATACCTACCGCCCACTTTTGTATCTTGTTAGTAGTAAAATTTTCTAACTGCCCACTGATTCCACAGTAATGGTGATTTATATAGTAGGGAAGTAACTTTACTTTATAAAATTTATAAAGCAGAGTTACAGCAAACCCCTACCGCCCACCATGAAAGCTGGAACACCCACTAGTGGGCGGTAGGGACCAGGTTGATTATCACTGGGATAGAGGATGTGCTAACTTGAACAAAGTAAGCTAATATAATTGACCTCATAGGATTGTTCTGGGGAAAAATAGGAAGGATAATTAGATATTAGCTATTTATGTGCTATGTGCATTCAATTACTGTGGTTTGTACACCATAGTTTATAATTAAAATATTTACACGATATTTAAATTGTAAACAGAATTACTTTTTCCTATTGTATTTAAATATTCCAGGAACCTGCATGCAAAGCTTATTTCGATTACAGCATTCCTTTGTGAGGCACTGGTTTTCTGGGATTATTTTCTGAATTGCAAATATATTTTATTCCAACAGATCATCTAATTTTGAGGTATATTCTCAACAATTTTATAAAGACATTTTTTCTTGTAAAGGATTCGCATGTTCATATTTAATTAGCTTAAATGTAATTGATATAAGAATCTAGATTTTTTAAAATAATTATTAAAATAGTTACTCTAAAAAGATAGCCTTGAGGTTTCCATACAGTAAAATATGTATTGGGATTTAATAAGACAAAGGGCCCATTAGATAGTAAACAAGCCATTCCTTAAGAATACAAAATCTAGAATAGTTACACACCTAATGAAGCATCAAGTGTTTCAGCAGAATGCTCAGTATTTTCTTAACAAATGTTGGCAGTGAGAAAAGGTGGTAACACTAGAAATGCATTTGTACATCTTCAATTGGGCACCTTTCTGGAGAAAATGACCTAGCTTTAATAACTAATCAGCTTTTAATTTATCCACTGCCTAAATTGAGTATCTTTTTAATAGTGCAGCCATTGCATTGCAATGAAGTCTGTTTGCCTTAGTGCTGGTCATTCTTCCACTTTTCCCAGCATTAGAGGCTTCTCAAGAACAATACATCTTTGTATGAAGAGTTCATCATACATGGATCTTTCTTGAGAGGTCTCTTATGCTGGGAAAAGTGGAAGAATGACCAGCATGAAAGGCAAACAGATTCTATGTAATGTGCTCTATACAGTGTTGTCCTTCAAAAGTTCGGGAAACTCCAGCTAGTGCATAATGCGAAGAGGTTGCTGCCATGAAATTGTAAATAAACACTGGACTCCTTGGTGCTCTCTGAGCTTGATTGTTTGCTTGCAGACCTTTCATCACCCAAGCAGGTAACAGTGCTGTCTTATAGTTGTTTTCCAACCCAATTTAAGGAGCTGGTTTTTTACATACTAAATTATCAGGTGAAACAGATTAATTAACCTATCTGTAAGATTCTACCTCACTAATATAGATGTCATTAGAGCTATGGTACATATTTCATTATGTATGGTATAAGTTGATACTGACTTAAGACAGACTTTTCTGCTTGCACCCCAAAAATGGATCAGCTTCCAGACTAGCCAATACTATGCTTTAAACAAGAACTGAGTTGCCTTCAGATCAAGCACTTTTGTAATAACTTCATACAATTATGTTCTTTCTGAGTAATATAGAAGTGGTTATCCGCTGCTTTTTATAGACCTCCTACTTCACAATTTGACTACAAACCCTGGTTTTTCTTGTAATGCCAACTCTTAATCCTGTTGATGTTTTTAAGTTCTCTCATTAAGTATTTTGTTTCAAATGAAATTGAAACTGAGTACAATCTAGTCAGCTGCATGATGATCATAGTTCAGTTTCATTAGTGTACAAATACTGCACCTCGTTATATACAAGGTTATATACAGATACTGAAAAATAGCACAATGAACAACTTGCTACAGAAACAAACGTGTTATAGAAGCAAATTGGACATAGATTCTTCAGGAAAAATGAAAACTTTCCTGACGATGGTGCTGTCTGGATTTATAGATGATATTTTCCATCATCTAGCCAGGAATTGTAAATTAGCATATCTAGAAGGCACAGCCTTAGAAAAGCCAGGAGATTCTGGATCCTTATAAAATCCTTATTTTTTTAAAAAAAGACTTGTTTGTAGTTCTCATGCATTTGATGCAAAAGCCTGGTGTTACTAAAGCAAGTTCATAAACTCTGCCTACCTACTTTTCAGCTCATAAAACACCTAAGAATGTAACTGCTTGACTTACATTCTTCA